CCCTCCCACCCACCCCAATGACCAATAATTCCCACAGAACACTTTGTCCAAGAGTATCCGATCACTATCGCCAAGGTCACCTGCCGAGTGTATTAATATTGCTTTGGTTCGTTTAGAATTCGGACGGCGCCGAGATCCTCGGTCCAAAACCGGGTTCTCAAGTGAAGCGAGTTGTATGCATCTGTGCTGAACTTCTTTCGCGCCGTACGTAGCCAACCGTGCTAATCGGAGGGGTGCGGGGGAAGGACAACAAACCAAACAAAAAAAATAATTTGTGAAGAAATTCGTTTTCAATCTAGATTTAAAAGTGCATAGCTCCAGTGGCTTTCTAATATCAGAAGAGCATTCCGGACGGCGCCAGGAGCGCATCTGAAAGCTCGTGACGCAGTGCCCGTCTTTGTTCAATGGCAAGCCAAAAGCCGCTGCGAGGATGACCGGAATTCACGTGATTGTTTATGCTCCTTGACGGGATCAGCAAGGTGTCGTGGTTCATTTGTAGCAAGCACTTTGCGTGTAATTAGTGCGACCGTACAATGTATTCGTTCGGCAACTGGGAGCCAATGCAGCTCTGCGAGCACTGGACGGACGCCGTCGGATCTTCCAGTACCCATCTCGACGCATGTGGTCTCTTCTCTGTAACCAATGACTGCATTGAAACAAAGCATCAGATTACGTTTTAGTCCTGCACTTCGACTATATTCCAGTTCGGATAATTAAATATCGCTTTGACGATCATCCGAAGAACGTACTCTCATGTGCAGAGTGGGGTGCGAAAGTGCTGTCCCCTATTATGTGGAACAGAGCTCGCTTGAAGGGATCCCAGATGTAGCTCTGTCATGTCTGCTTCCGTGGGTCCTACTCTAACACAGGGTGTTGTACTGCTCTGTGAGAGATCTGAGCGGTCACTTCATCTGACAACGTGACACTGATAGCAGAATATGGATGCAACTTTGGGGTAAACGATACAAAAATTTAAGTGAAAAATATGCTGAGAAAAAACGGATAAAGTGTGTGGGCAGATTTCCAATCAACTCAAATGCTTCTGATGGCCACTGAGAGCTGCAAGTGCATGCCGGATGAGGTGAGGTTTTTTTGGTTATTTTTCTGGCAAAATGCCAAGCAGTGCCTCATGGAAACATGACCCACAGTAACTCCTAACATCTTCATTTCAAGATAATTGAGTGTTTGTTAACATCGTGATTGAGTGGCAGCCAAGAAATGGAATGCATCTGAGTGTAGGTCCACTGAGGAGTTGCAACAATTAATTCAGTTCGTGGGTGGTTTGCATATCGTGGGATCACTGGAGATGGCGGAGGCTTGAAGAGCCCTTCATCCGGCAGTGGAATGAACATGGCTGATGGCAATGATAACGCAGTTGTTGAAATCCTGAGGCGAAAAATGCAGGTATCCATCAGTGGCAATGTGCTTACTGCGTGTGCGTGTGTGGAAACGACGAGATGCGTGCTAAAGGATGCATCCGATTTGATGGGTGTATCCAACACCAGCAGACATTTCCTTACATCTCCTCCCATCGTTCCTTGTGTCACGCTTCCTCATGGAACGTCATGCTAATTGTTACAACACATTTCTAGTCTATTGTTATAACACATTTATATTCTATTGTTATCACACATTTATATTCTATTGCACTTGGGGGGGGGGGTTGCCCAACAGAAATCCGATATTGAGATGTAATCACGTGTTCTCGTTTGTTCACCGTTTACTTCTGGGTGCTGTCCGGTTGCTTAGTGACATGTGTGAGGTCACGTGACGTAACTGAAGAGCACGTGCCCATCCTCCATCTATCTCCCCCCACCCCCTCTGACCCCCCCACCCAACCCCACAGCCAATAGTTAACCCCCTGGCCAAACTCACACTTGCCCCCCCCAATACTAACTTGGACGGTGGAAAGCAGTGGTGGTGCTGGCCCAATTGGGGGGAGGGGGGGCTGAAGCAGAAATGATGTTGGGCCCCCCTCCCTCCCCTATAGACTCCGAGTGAGATGACAGAGGAAGATATAGAGATAGAGATGTAGGGAGACGAGAGGAAACGAAAAGAGAGAGATGTAATGAGACGAGAGAAGAGAGCTGCAGACGAGATAGAGACGAGCGAGACATTTTATTTTTATCTTGTGAATGCCAATTGGATGTTTTTATTTATTAGGATATAAATTCTCGCTGATATTTGGTGCATCCCCATTATTTTTTTTTACGAATCCAAGTCTCTTTAAGCTACTTGTGGAACCGCGAAGCATTTGCTGAGTTTGCTTATGCTTTGCACCACCACCGATGGATGGATTTGTCTACTGTGATGTAAGGGGTGTGTTGGCAGGGTGGGTCCAGATTCGGACAAGTGTGGCCGGTAAATTGGCGGCCTGATTGATGTTAAACTCTGCCGAGAGATAAGCAGCAGGTACCTTTTACACCCGGTGATTGATCCGGGTGCAAACCTTTCACCCTGCACTTACATCCCAATCAAGCTTTCCGCTATTCTGGGTGCACATTCGTTTGTTTTCATTTCCCCACCCCACCGCCCCCCTCCCAAAAAAAAGGTAACGTAAATAGATGGCCAGGTATATTAGGCGGTGGCTGCGACTTGTCAGAACATTGGGCTCACAATATTGGGACCTTGGTTCAAATCCACGCTTCGGGCATCCGTAATGGAAACTGAATTTCTTCGAGAATGTAGCGAGGTCGTGGTCTCAGCCCAGCTGCCAATGTCTGCCAATGCACACACACCTGCGATATTACATACTGTGATGTGATGAACAGCCCTTTGTCAATCCACGGCTGAAGGAGGCTCTCGGCCATGCGGTGTCAGTCGTAAGGGTTGCGTGGCCAACATTGACCATGTTGATCAATGAGGGATTGGTAAGAAAACACATTTACTCGTGGTATTTACTTGCCATATTCCATATTTATTCGGCATACTCCCCCCCCCCCCAGTACCTCCGAATCTTTCCCGGCACCCCCGATTAGCACGGTGGGCCACACGCGGTGCGAAAGAAGTTAAATGCACGGTACATAGTACACCTCTCACGACCAACGTTTCCACCGTAGTTGTTTCCTCGACGATCTGTACGATCCGAACGTGAGCGTAACCGTGACGCCCCGGCAAGCCGATGGCGCGGGAAGGAAGTGTGTGCGTTCCATACGAGTGCGTGCTCAAATTAAAGATACATTAAATAAGACGTGCTGTTTACAGGGTGCTTCTGCAACCCTGTGGTAGATGAAGTCTTTACTTACAGGTAATTATAAACCAATTAATCGCACGTATAACATTTCACTCTGATATGAATGTATGTTATTGGCATGACGCCCAGTTAATTTTTCTCGCTTAATTTTTCCCAGCCCACACATGCACTGTGTTGTAGCTTGTAAAAACGAGAGAATTAACACACAAAGCTGATTTTTTTCTGGAGCAGAACACACAAGCCAGTGACCGTCTAAGTAGCTGGCCCATTCACATACTGTACATGTAAACCCCAATGGGTTCCAATCGGTGAGATCACCACCACTAAAACGCAAGAAACTGGGGCAGGAACTCAAGAAACAGAGGCACAGAAATATTGAACCGTCCCGCAGGCAATGCCGAGTCTACTTTTGGAGAAAAGTGGTGGGGGGGGGGGGGTGGTGGAGCGAGAGGGTTTCAATACAAAGATCCTATAACCCATTAGCTCAGTGTTCTTAATTGCAAGGCCCGTGGGCCACTGGCAACCCCTGGTGGCCTTTAGTGCGGCCCCCTGCCAATACACGACGAGTAACAACGCCACGAGTGTGGCGGACCTCACAATGATGATGTCTTATCGGCGAAAATGGGCCCCCGCTCCCTCTGAAAATTAGCTTTACAGACTGTTAGAGCAAGTGTTATTAGTGAGTAGCCTTTAAGAGCAGCACTGGAAACGTGAGTTCAAGTCCAGGCAGCCGCTTGTGATGATAACCAGTCACTAAAGTGTAGCGAGTTGGCATTGAAGCAGCCTGTCCATCACCAATGAATACTCAGAGGTCGCTTGAATCTATCTTAGAGATTGTGCAGTGGTATCCGCTTTTGTGGGCCGTTCGCTAACACAATGGGTATTTGCGCTGCTCTGCCAGATTTTCGAATGGATTTATGTCCCCGTGACACGAAACTGAAAGTCAAATACAGATAAATTGGGAAAAAATAGATTTCAAAACGTTTCAAAGAACATTGGAGTGTGGTCTCTACCATGCACACCAGCCAATGTTGTATCCCGGACGCTGATCACAATGCACTTAGTCCTCATTTAAGGTCGAGTTGACCTGCAGAAGGTCAAGGCCAACTGCAGATACCAATTGCCACTGGAGTGAATGGGCAGAAATCAAGACGCAGGTTAATGGGATCGTAGTCCAGTGCGCTAACCAACTACGTCACCGTCGAGGGCCACGGAGTGAAGGATGCAGCCTATTTTTTCCAACCATAGTCTGGGTAAAGATTTACATGAAGATATTACCGTGCTAAATTGTTTGATGTTAAATTCGGAGTCATTTTAAAATGTATCATTCGGGCTCTTAGTGAAACACAAAAAAGTGAAAGTGATTCCATGCTCCAAGGAACAGAGGCAGTGCTCATCTCGTTTACAGCCCTCACTGAGCCAGTGGTGGAAATTCCACGTTCCTGTGGTAGGGTCGAGTCTAACAAGAGCACAACGAATTGACTTCCCCACAAAGTGGTACTAATTTTATCAAGCCCAGAGGAATAATGGGCTAAAGTCAATCCCCAACCAGGATTTGGAACTCACAACCTTCCGATCGCGAGGGCTATTACGTTCATGAACAAAAACTAATCTGGTGACTGCTTCCTTGTAAAGAAGTGAGTGCAGGTTGACGTTAGCTGAACGTTTCTAATCGATGCGAGAGCCTTGTAGCTCATTCTCAGTAGTACTTGGTCACGATGCCCAGAAATATAACGTGACATTCAGAGAGGGCTTTCAGCAGGACCAGGGAAGGACTTGCAACACATTCAATCATCACATTTCCCAGTTTATTGTATTATTTTTTTTGTTAGAGAACACGAATGAAACAATCTTAGTCCCTAACTTGTGAAGACAGACATTTGTTCCCCATGATACACATTACATAAGCTAGTCTTAATTCCGTATTCATTAGATCTTTCTGTATTCTAAATTAATTAAAAGGATCACTTAATATGATTACAGGGGGAAAACACAAAATATATTCGCAATATTTTCACAGGTGCAACCGGATTATTGCAAATTCCAATGATATTTTGCGATAGATACTTTCAAAATAATCGTGTAAAATTGTATTTTATAGGCAGCCCTTTTTGTCTGAAGTGTTTGCAAAAGTCAACCATGAGTCCAAGGCTTCGTATAGCTCACAACAGTTCACGTTGTGGGCACAAAACATAAGCAAAAAAAAGAGAAAATGTATTTCTCATTGTTCAGATTTTTTTTCATAATGTCCTGTTGGTTTTCAATGTGATGGCACTTTGAGTGGCAGATCTGTACCAGTAAGGTGCCACGTATGTACAAAAACATACTTGGAACATTTTTTTACTCTTAGCTGCTTCACTCAAATAATCAAACTAAAGTGCCACCTCTCCCATGATGTGTGTGTACGGGTTGTGCCGTGTGCCGTCTTCGATGCCTCACGTTTCGCTCCACGTGCCGATACTGAAGCTCCCGGTGCGATGAGTGAAACGTCGGACAAACGACACACGGGTACAACCCGACAGCAGGTCATCGGGGAACACGACAACACAACTCCGGAAAGCCCACGTGGCAAGGTGGCGACCGTTCATTGCAACAACAACAAAACTTGCATTCTGGTAGCAGGTAGAAAAGATAAAAAGGATCTCCTGGGTTCATACTCTGAGGTTTTTTCGGTAATGTCACGTAGGTGAAAGTAAATAAATGAATAATAAAAGATAAATAATAACAATTATAGAAGAAATAATAGAAATAAAATAATAAATCACGACGTTACTTGATACAGCAATCGTGCTGTGACGGTTCCACCTGAAGACGGAAGCTTGTGTTGCCTCTGAAACGTGGTGATTTATTATTTTATTTATATTATTTCTTCTATTATTTGCAATAATAAATCTTTTATTATTTATTTATTTTTACCTACGTCACTTTACCGAAAAAACCTAAGAGTATGAATCCTTGCAGTCACGAAAGCTTCAAATCTAGGATCTCCTGGGTGTCTTGGTTTAATCGGATTAGACTGTGCATTTAAATGGCGAGACACTTTGTTTTGACTGTAGGCTGTAAAACACAAAGCCACTTTTTTATCGGATTAAGTCAATAAAATAGTTTGTTGTTATGGAAGACTAGCAAACTGGCTTTCGTGGCGCTTTTGAAGATCAAAAACATTCGCTCCATATTGACATCCTCCCTTGATCAATAACATTTCACGTCTAACCTGTCAGGTTGGCGACAGCAAAACGTTATCGGCAGTTCGATACAAAGGGCAGTGCAACTCACGATGACCGATTCGGTTGAACACTAAGCGAGGGGAATGACACAAAATGTAAGTGGCACCGATGATTGGTAACTATGATTGGTAATTCACAGATTTTTCTTCATTGCAGGCTGTCGTACACCAGCTTGGCTGCAACAGCATCCTCCACTGCCAGCCCTGCACACACCAAAGTTATAGATTTGCAAAAGGTAAAGGAGTAGCTCACGCCACTGCTGGCGGAAGGATCTCCACGAGAGGAAGCTCGAGACCAGGGGTGCCCAACCCCCGGGTCGCTGACAGGTACCGGTCCGTGGCCTGTTAGGAACCGGGCCGCACAGCAGGAGGTGAGAGCGGTGAGTCCGCGCGTGGCCTGCCCCCATTATTTTATTTACCACTTCCATCCGCGCCTCTTTCCCGCTCCGCGCACTTGTTTTAGTCACAGTTTTGGTGAGCCCACAAGCCAACCCCTAGCCAAAATGAGTAAAAAACAAACGTCGCTGGAGAGCTTCTTTGAAAAGGGGGAAAGACCCAATGATGAACACCCGCACCCCCCCCCCCCCCACCCCGGTCCGTGAAAAAATTGTCTTCCACGAAACCGGTCCCTGGTGCCAAAAAGGTTGGGGACCGCTGCTCTAGACGGTATTTGGCCTACCCGTCCATGCTGACCAGACGTCTTGGAAGAGGTTTCAGTACCCACACTTGACCCCACTATACGTGTCCTGCCCATCGACTGTGGTTGTTAATACCACTGGGTGGGCACAGGTAGAAGGATTTAACGGACATGCCCCCCCCTCCCAACCCGTTGTTTAAACTGCCACGCTGGAAGATGAAATTGAACTTGTGACCTCTGGATTGCTGTGCAGTGTGCTAGCCATTAAACCACGGCAGCTCTCTTACAGATTTCGTAGAACAACAAAATACGGTGAACTCACGGGGAGTGCATAACACTGGTCAAGACACTTTTTCTGGCATAAGGTATTCCAACGGTTTTAAGGTAATTTTGGGGTGCTGATTCCAAATCTGGCATCAGTTTTTGTCTATCACATAAAAACTGCAGAAGAAAAATATTAAATAAATGTGGATATCTACATAAAATGATATTAAAAACACACTATCCTAAAAATACAGCACAATATTTTAACACTAAAGCAGTCACTGATTCGCAACAACTTGCAATCATAAGTGACAAGAGTTAATTTCGGGTAAAATCAATGAAAATGGGGTATGCCGATAGCATAAAAATGAGATGTGATAGAGCAAATCTGAGATCAGATTTGGAATCAGCACCCTGAAATTAGTCTAAAACAACTACAAAAGTCCAGGCCAGAAAAAAAAAAAATTTTGTTGTTGACAAGTCTAATTCATGGGCATAGGCCAGAGAGAATGGAAGGTGGACCCAGTAGACATTCCAACGTTAGTCCAACGTCGGCACGTGGTTGGAACCATTGGACAAAAGTTGGCGCAACATTGGCCCCGACATTCCTTGTTAAGTAAGGATATGAGATTACATGTAGGCGAGGTATAAACAGTGGATGGCTTAAAAACTATTTAGGGATGTACTGCCTCTTGCAAGTGCACTGGTGGAAGGCCTCCTCACCTGTGATGTCAGTTTGTTTGCACATACTTCACCACGAATGTCACTGTGCGTTTGTGAAAGAGGACCCAGAACTGGTGGTATATCACTCGCCACCGATGTTTATCATCACCGGGATTTCGACTTGGTCTGTTTGTTTGTTTGGGAGGCCCTCACTTTCGCCTTTAGAATGGCGCCACGCGTTATTTACAACGCGGTTATACAAATGACGTTAAGGGTGCGAATGGAAGTTGGGGGGATTTACAGATTGAGCAACGCGACGAGACTGGCAGAGGAGAGAGAACGACAGCACTCCATGCCATCGTTTTGACATCGGAGGTACATCGAGGGCCTCTAGTGGTGTGCATAGCTTCCAGCAGTAGCAACAGGAGCAGCAACAGCAACGCTTTGTACCGTTCCTGTGTTGCGACTTGACCACTCGCACACAAATCCGTGTCCTCGTGCTCAACCCTAGGCTGCATTAGGGCTCATCTGTATTGCCAAGCCCTGAGCTTGGTGTTGGGAATTCCACATTCTAATAGCAGGGTCCAGTCTTAACATTGTACAACTTCTGTTTCTAGTTGTTAAACAAAGTTAAGGTTATGTTGAGCCAATATGCCACCGATTGCCACCCCACACACCATCGCTGACTGCACAGTCAACAACCCAACCACCAAGGTCTGTTCTCACAGTCTCCCACCGTCTGGCTGCAGGTCTTCTCCACGTTTAGTGATCTCTGAGTGCCACTCCAAATGCCTGTCTCTGCAGTCGGGCCCTCTTCCATCCTGCACATATACGTCGGCCATCGCAACCTCCTAATTACATACACCGTCTTCTTGTCACCTGTTTTAACATTAGATTATTTGCCTGCTATACATTTGCACGTGATAAGCCACTTCGCTGACCTATCAATTGTGGCCAGGCCGCTTCTGAAAAAGATATAGCTTAGTGGGCCTTATCTGCTAAAAATAATAAAGTTGAATAGTTTATATTATCAACTTTCACGTTACCATATCCTCCCATGAAACCTATAACAAGAAGCATCTAAATACAAAGGTAAAGTCATACCTGTCAACCCCTTATCAGTGCCCTACCTTATTACAGACCAATTCAAACGGTATTGGTCACCCCGTGCCCTTATAATTCTCAATGTTCATCCTACAAAGTCCCATCACAAGGGAGAAACACTAATAAATAGACCAATAGAAAATGTGCCCGTAATGAAACGGCTATATACCGTATGGACTTGAAAACTCAATTTCCATGTACAAGAATACGGATAAACTGTATGGGTTGACAGGTATGTAAAGTATCATGCCATAATGTAGCTTTACTTCCATGAAAAACATTTTAATGTCCAGTTCTCTGACTCCACGATGCTTTGTTACTTTAGCAAATGCTTTACAAATGAAAGATATAAAACTGAAAGCGTATAAGTAAATATGGGAGAGTCCCTGACTTATGAACGGATTCCGTTCCTGAAACCCACTCGTAAGTCGAACGGTTTGTAAGTCGGAACAATAATGTATTATACGTATATGTAAATGCCCATATGATCAGTGTAATAAAATGTGTTACTGTTCAACAAAAACGGGAAGCATTGTTAAACTCATAAAAATATATATATTGTACATTTGCATATAATAGTGAGATAAATACTGTATCGTAAATAAAGCATTAAAATAAAGTAACATGAAAAGAAAAAAAATCTGTTTCATTTTCACCTACCTTGAGTCCTGATGCTGGTCTGAATGGGTGTAATGAGTCCCCACAATTGCTCACACACACACATGGGGGGACAAAGATCTCCCGTACAGCCTTAAGAGACTGCTTGGGCAAGTGCTGTTAGCAAGCACTAATGAAGGCCGACACGGCCAGCACCATGCCTGGTTGCCTTTGTCTCCTGAGTGGCGATGTTCACGCATCACAACCAGGTACTCATTTCAGGTTGAGTCGACCTAGGGGAGGCCCAGGACCGGTTCAGATAATCGTCACTGGTGTTGGCCGTGAGCAGGAATCAAACTCGGGTCCACGGGTTCGTAGCGCAGCGCACAAACCACTGCTCCACCGCTCCCCCCGTACAGACACACACTTTCAGACACACGTATGTTCACGCGCAAACACACACCCAAATACTCACTCCCAGCGGGATGCTGGGACACAGTATATCTCGCGCAGGATCGCTCTGCTGAACAAAATAGTTCCGCGGTTCGGTTTGCAATAGCGAGTTCGCGTTCACACATCCGATGGTTAAAAAATGAACATCTATGGAAGCTCGTTCGTAAGTGTGGATGTTCGTAAGTCTGGCGTTTGTAAGTCGGGGACTGCCTGTAAACAGATGATCAAACATGAAAAAATTAACCCGTAAAAACAAAGTTTTTCATTATAAATCCTTTATATGCGTGGCGACTAGAGTCCTCTCGTCCTCTGGCTTGAGATGGCTGCCACCTATGGGTCAGATGATTGTCTGCCACCATTAAGCAATTGGTAATTAAATATTTAAATTTTTTCCCTAAACAGTGTACAATTTTAGAGAAAATTTTTTTCACGAAAAGTAATTGTCACGCACAACGAATCTGTGTGGAAAATGTCAGCTCGATTGGATCACGGGAAGTGGGTTAAAAAACGACCGAAAGATTTGCACGGTCGTAAGCAAGCAAGCAAGCATGCAAGCACACAAGCAAGTGAACTTAATATAAAGGATTTAAAAAAGTGATACTCGTTTTAATTGACCTCAGAGGGACAGTGCGCTGAGTTAACTGCTAAGCGGAATTTTGAATTCACAAATTTGCAATTGCCGGTTAAGTTGCCTTTGCAATATGGAACATTACATAACCTACACTTGAAGCTCAGCATTAAATAAAAATCCTATACATCTCCTTAGCCACTTCAAAATCCTACCGCTAACATATGGCCCATTACCCTAAACGTTACAAGGTAATGTGATTGCCACTGATAATGGGGATGAAAGTAATTTCGGCCACTGCCAACACAAGTCCTTGAAATGTAATTAGAAATTATACAAAATGCTCGAAATTCAAGCGCTCACATTTAAAATAGGACGTGCTTATTACACATCGGATTAACATAACCGTGATCAAAGAACATTTAATGTACGCCTAGACCAGCAACATAAATTGTGCTGAACTCTCATTAATGCAAAATAAGGGGTTGGCGTATATTATGGCAGCGCATAATGTACTGATGTTCTATCATGTACGCGCGTCCATTCATTCGGTTATTCGTTACCACCCCTCCATTATACCAGGGCCTCGTTGGAAAACTCAATGAACCATTAAAACCTCAATATGACCTGAGATGAAACACTGTCAGAGACAAACACACTCCGCGATTAACAAACACTTGATGTAAAGGCCACATATTTGTCCGTGCCTGTATATGTTTCGATACAGTAATTAATTTACACCTTTGCCAATCCACTGCTGAATGAAGGCCTCCTCAACGCCAAGTCGTTCATGGGGGTTGCTTGATCGTACTTCACCGCTCAACCAGCATTAGCGGTGGCCAGGAATCGAAAGTGGGTTGCCGGGTTCACAGCGCAGTGCGCTAACCATAAAACGTATCAAGCTGAAACCCCAATCACGTGAACCGTTGTCGAAGACGATTATTGCACCATCAGATGGTGGCGTCTAATGGGTTCGGAAATGAGACCCGTGCAGTGGAGGAATCTGGTGCGATATGATATATCTGTGATATTATATGATCCATTATCTGGCCGCGTCAATGCTGGAGCAGAGTGGACGACCTTTAACTGAAAACGTACGTGTTCATATCCAGGTAAGGGTTTGACTGAGCTCATTATTTATCATACAATGACGATTAACACTTTGTGGGAAGTCGACAGTGGATGTTATGTGTAGATAAGGGCTCCTGCAAGAGGAAAACTAAATTTGTACCACTGACTTTGGTCTGCCAAAAAATATTAGTATGTTCCAGTGGGCTTTTGAAGCGGGGAGACTTGACTTTTTTAAATTTGACTTTTTGTGTATGTGTCTTTACACACTCCCTGCTTCTGTCAAATTGGACACACAGTTCAGGTTTCAAACGGAGGAATGTCCGAACAAAACCCACAAGTGTACAGTCAAATTCACGTGGGATTTTTAAAATGATTGCCATCAACCACCTCCATCATGGCACACCGCGTTGTTAATTACTGAGATAACTACTTTCCAATATGTATGTGGAGACACAGAACAGAGTTGTCGCTTACGTTTAATTTGATTGCTCTGGCCAACAATGTTCAATAACCCAGCACCATTTGTTTGACAAGAATGACTGCCGATGAGACCAGGTATATCCGTTTGCTTTGCTTATTGGAGACAGAAAATGGCGTTTTGCTTTGACATACTTTCCTTGAGTCGGTTTTTCAAACATCACTAGAATTTGCCATCACGCCTGATGCTAAAATGCAGCGTTAAAGGTGGGCTCGAGAAATGCTCCACAAACGGCAAGATGAGGAGTAATGGGTGTGTGTGGATTTCAGTTAAGAGTGGGCCCTGGGAAATCCTTGCCTTGTGACCTCTTAACGACCACCACCTGAGCAAGGGCATTGAACTCACCTTGTGATTTAAACACCGTGGTCTTCTCTCGATGAGCGGGTTTGGAGCCATTAATCACTTCTCCCAGCTCGGCAAAAATGTTGGCCTGCACCGACGCAATACGGCAAGGGCGTTTCACAGTGTTCAGCCGAAAATATTTAATAAACCCGTTAGCCTTACTCGGTAAAATAAAGTCACGTAACTACATTACCAAAGTGATACAACTCAGTGTTGATATGTGAAATCTATCCTATGGGGGGATTGTCACGTAAAAAGGACAGCCCTTTGTCAATACACTGCAGGAGAAAGGCCTCTCTACATGCCGTGTCAGTCACGAAGTTTGTTTTGCCCATATTTCACCACATTGGTCAGTATGGGGTGGTCATGAATGGGCCAGCTAGTTCATATATCATGAATCGATTGAATCGGAATCTTAATTTATTCTAGAGGAATCCGATGAACGATGAAGCTCTTTTTCACAGATGTGCAGTTGGGGTGGGTCCGCAAAAGGGCAAACTAGAGAGAAGGTAGGCAAGTCACTAAATCATTAAAGAAAAATAGATAAAGTATATATGTACAGATTGCATAAGTATGTAAACTCCTGTAGATTTTTCAACACGAAATACAAGCTTGGGCAAAGGAGAAAAACAACAACAACAAAAGCGGTCCCAAACCATACCAAGACAACACACAGTCCCTCAATTAGATTGCACATTAAATTTTAACTTTCGATGCATGGTCAAGGACCAAAGTTACAAATCACATTTGCAAATGTGATTAAACCCGACACTAATCACACGCTTCAGGATATATTTTGAAGGAAGATTTACGGCATTCAGGGAAGAAACAAGGTTGTTTCCAAAATGTCGGTGCTCGTTCATCGCTGGCAGCAGCGATAGGCGAGTGATGAGTTGACGACTGACCGCTGCTGGTGAGTGAGTGGAGCGATCACCAATCACTCCAGTGTGGGCAACGCTAGTGTTGCGGTTAGCGCTATGCTACGAACCCAGCGACCCGAGTTCGATTCCCGCTCACGACCAACACCAGTGATGCTTATCTGAATGGGTCCTGGGCCTCTCATAGGCCGACTCAGCCTGAAATCAATATCTGGTGCTGTTGGTGAACAAAGGCAGCCCGGTGTGGCACTGGCCACCCACCCCCTCGTGTGCCATGCCACCCTTCATAGGTGCTCACTAACGGCATTTGTCCCAACAGTCTAATAATGCGAAATGGGGCGGGGTGGAGGGGGGGATCTTTGGCTTTAGAGGTGACCGCTGAGAGCCGTATACCCCGCTGAGAATGATGTCGCCAGACTCCCGGCTCGCTGCCTCTCGGCAGTCGACGTAAATCACGGCGCTCTTCATCAGGTCGTCGTCCACCTCCCGCGAAGTCGGTCCGTTCGCTCCCACCACTGGGATAAAGAGTAAATAAATCGTTCAATGCGGCTTCTTAAACTCTACCGAGATTGTCTCTCTCGCAGAGCACCGCTGAGCACAATCCTCTATCAGATGTGATCTATCCGCCTCCTCAAGCCATCACAATCCCCTTATGGTCACGGGACGCAACAACACATCTGGCTCCGATTCACAAGCTGAACTCATCGTTCCAGTTCCTGAGTGGAAACTTCTACATAGTTCTACAAATATTGGACATTTCATATTTGATTGATACAGTGTAACACACCGGTACAGAATTCCCTACTCAGCGAGAGTTGTGTCAAAGCATGTTTGGATGTTGGAGCACTGCGGCAGAGCGCTTGACTCGCAGGCAGTTGCAAAATTAAATCCTCTTTGCAAGTAGGCTCAGCTCATCACTTCTCTGGGTCACTAAAGTGAGTACCACTTTGTGTAATCTCCTTCACTGGCTTAAGGCCACAAATGGTGATGAGCTCGATGCTATGTGTGCTTAAAAATGTAAACTTTGGATAATTATATGGATAATAGTAATTTATCTTATTCGGGAATACTTTGACTTAAGTCTCCAGACCCTCACCATTGGACCCTTTTCATAAGTTTAGGTGCTCAACTTTATATCACAAGGCACAAACTCATCCATGAATAACAATTTTCCACTGGTTAGTTCCTTGCCAATGCCGAGCCAGAACCAAACCGTGATACGCTGACCTCACAAGACATCTGAATCTGGCTCAGAGCCAAGTATGGCTAGGGGCAGGGTTAACAATAATTTCCATCGTACGTTGCGTGCACAAGTTCGAAACATTCAAACACCCAACGCCACTTTGTCATTGCGCGCGGCTTCAGCTGGCACGATTCATTTTTAAATCCTTTATATTAAGTTCGCTTGCTTGCTTGCTTACGACCGTGCAAATCTTTCGGTCGTTTTTTAACCCACTTCCCGTGATCCAATCGAGCTGACATTTTGCACACAGACTCGTTGTGCAAGACAATTAATGTTCGTGAAAATTTCAAAAATGTTACACTGTTTATGGTAAACAAATTAAATATTTAATTACCAATTGCTTAATACTGGCAGACAATCATCTGACCCATAGGTGGCAGCCATCTCAAGCTAGAGGACGAGAAGACTCTAGCCGCCACGCATATAAAGGATTTATAGTGAAAAACTTTGTTTTTACGGGTTATACTTATTCCATCTTGCGGTGGAAAAAATAACCTGGGCCATGCTGGGGCTGGCTCAGCGCGGCCTTTAACGACGGCTCGGTCGTGCAGTGGAAAAGCGGCAAGGGGAACGAGAGACGGGCCGACCCCCCCCCCCCGGTCGCACGCCCCCTCCTTCACCCAGAGCCGGACCTAGACCTTTGGGGGCCCTAAGCAAAATTTGGTTGGAGGCCCCTTTGACCGTTTTAAGTAAGGCCTAAAGAAAAGCAATGACTACCTTATAACTATACAGTACATATTATATCTACTATGTTATTTTTAAAATTTTTAGTTTATCAAATTCTGTTTTAATTTTTCACCCGCTAGCTAGCAGTGACTCTAGGGGGGGCCTCTTGCTGGCCACGGGGCCCTTTGCAATTGCAAGGGTCGCTTAGTGGTTTGGCCGGCTCTGCCTTCACCATTGACCAGTGCTCCGGGCTTGACCCAGGCTCCGCGGAGAACGGGGTCCGTCGCCAGGGTGACCGTGACGATAACGTCGGCGCCTCGAGCCGCCTCCTCGGCGGAGCGGTGCGGTGTCACGGCGCCCCCGGCAGCGCCGGCGAAGCGCTCGGCACTCTGCCACGTGCGGCTCCACACGCGCACCTGCGGCAGAGGGCAAACGGGCAGAGGAGGTGGCCCACCACCACCCACACAGAATCAACGACCACATCGTAGGCCGTCCATAAATGACGTCACGCGATTTTGGACGATTTTTGACCCCCCCCCCCCCCCATCGTCACATGGCGTCACAAAAAGTCAGACCCCCCACCCACCTCAAATATGACGTCACAAAGCTTTGCCCCCCCCCCAAAAAAAAATATGCTTCAAATCGCTTTAAACTATTGTCATTGTAGTGCGTATTTAATGTGGCGCTGCACTCTAATGTTGTAGGAGAAACATTTATTAAAAATCTATTTAATTAAGTAGAACGTGTTGTCTATATTTATTTAAAGTTGCGCATTTTTACGTGACGTCACATTTCTCAAACCCTCCCCCCCTCGTCAACCATCGTCACAAATGTCTGACCCCCCTCCCCACCCAGGTGTGTGACGTCATTTATGGACGGCCCCTGAGCTTGGTTTGAGATAAGATTTCTCGCAGCTCCAACTAAGAGTAGGATGTTTTTTTGGAGAAAAAATAATACTGCTTTTATCGCCTTTTTGTGGAACATCACGTAGGTCCCCCGTTAAGAATTAGTGCATGAGCCCGTAGCAGATGCTTCGCTCGTTGGTTACTCCGTGAGGTGGCGTAAACTTCAGTAGTTCCAATGTAATAATGTGGCCGACAAAAGTGAATTATGTGAAAACTACAAGGGCCGTCCATAAATGACGTCACGCACCGAGGGGGGGAGGGGTCAGACATTTGTGACGATGTGTGGTGAAGGGGAGGGGGGGTTTGAGAAATGTGACGTCACATCAAAATGTGCAACTTTAAATACATATAGACAACACGCTCTACTTAATTAAATAGACTTTTAAATAAATGTTTTCTCCTACAACATCAGAGTGCAGCGCCACATTAAATACGCACTACAATGACAATAGTTTAAAGCGATTTGAAGCATGTTTGATTTATTTTTTGGGAGGGGTGGGGGCAGAGCTTTGTGACGTCATATTTGAGGGGGGGTCTGACTTTTTGTGACGCCGTGTAACGAGGGGGGGGGGGGGGGTCAAAAATCGTCCAAAATCGCGTGACGTCATTTATGGACGGCCCCACAGTGATCAGCCGTAAAAATAAATAAGCTAGGTTTTTCTACCTCAATTGGCACCGATGTCTGCTCTGGCCCATTGACTATCTTGGCAGCTGACCCCACATCCTGGCTCCTGAAGGCGTGTGGCCGTGCCCATCACTGTTCAGCGGCGCATGTGGAAACAGAGGTCATTCTTTTTCTCCAACTATTTTCGTGCATTATCATTATGTGGTCGAGCAATCAAACCGATAGCTGGTAGAGTGATCGATTGCTTAATTGAAAAAATCATCTTCTTGGTTCTTTCGGTAAAGTCACGTAGAAGGGAAATAATAAAATTATAAAAATTTAACATAATAAAATAATTCTCACGACGTTTCGGCCACAACGCAAGCAGCCGTCCTCAGGTGAAGACCAGGTCTGTCGGGGAGACAGCGTCTGAATGAAACACCACCACACTTGGAGCGTATATTTAAGCTGGGTTGGAAGGGGAAGAGCGCCTTGACAAAATCATTTGCATATCAAGAGGAATTTAGATGAGTCCCTGCAGTCACGAAAGCTTTAAATCGAAATTTAAGTCATTCTTTTTCTCCAACTATTTTCGTACATTCTCATTATGTGGTCGAGCAATCAAACCGATAGCTGGTAGAGTGATCGATTGCTTCATTGAAAAAATCATCTTCTTGGTTCTTTCGGTAAAGTCACGTAGAAGGGAAATAATAAAATAATAAAAATTAAACATAATAAAATAATTCTCACGACGTTTCGGCCACAACGCAAGCAGCCGTCCTCAGGTGAAGACCAGGTCTGTCGGGGAGACGGCGTCTGAAAAAATAATCTCTGCTTTTTATTTTAAATTGGCCTGTAGCTACCCCAAATTGCTGGGCAAAGGTCCTCCCAATCGTTTCCCACACTCACTGCTGCCGACCTCCTCCTCAACAAGCAGCGTTTCCTCGTCTCGCCAGCTCTTGTTCTGGCATCCTCTGTTCCTTTTCCCATCGAGTGGTGTCCAGTCTCTTGTCGGTGTTGCCCATCAGTCATCCGTTAAGTACTTCCACACGGCCTGCCCATTTACATTTTAACAATTTTTGCCCCGATAATTAACGCCTGTCACTCGTGTAATTCCGCTCACTGTATGAATTATGATTCTGCCTCGTCTTGTTACGTTCAACAGAGGCTTTATTCCATGGCTCTTTGACCCACTGCACTTGTAGTTTTTTTTTTCACGCGTTGATACAAATATCACGGTACATTGTAAATGTAATGTAGACTTTATTTGACCAGAAAATGGCGTGTGTTCATAATGAATACTTCCCTAAGTAAATATCGACCGGCTCATATCCCCTTGTCCACGGGGGTTTATGTTTACTCATAGAGCGAGCATCTCCTGTCAGCCAAATAGGGAGACAATATTCCGAGAAAGGGGATGTGAGGGGCCAAGAGTTATTTTTTTTAAATCACGAGTCATCGGTAATTGGAGGTGGATTACTTTTTAAAAGTATCCATCCGAATGCCGTGCATATACTTGCAACGTGATGCATTCGCAGTGACACGGTCATTGCGCACTGAAGAGAGAATGCCAGTCATTATTGAATCCATTCACTCTCCATTCCACCGTTTTGAACACACTTGACAGTCATCATCGTTTCGATGCGACAGATGATGGTGATGATGAGACTTGGTGGCATTACTCACGAGAGTCTGTCATTGTACGATAACCAAGCTCCCCATGCGAGCAGTACAGTCCCTTCCCTTCACGCTTGCCAGCGTTCAGACGTCCCTTTGCTGAGTGAGCGGCGATCTCTTTTCTAACAGCCACGCGGCTAATAACCGGCAAGTGAGCGATGAATTAAAAAGTAACACGGGGAAGCCGAAGCGATTAGCTGAGGGGCAGCGGTTCAACTGCAGGGGACAATGCTGCTGTCAAATCCCCAAGGTCCAATCGTAACGTATTATCGCACATCTCGCAATCATCAGCAAACAAGGCTTAATCAAGGTCTCGTAGGGCAGTTGATGTATATTGTAATTGGGAAAGTCCAAAAGGCCAATGGGTTTCCAGCAATGTTCCTCCTTCAAATTAATCTTGGCTAGGCCACCTTATAAACCAAATACAAACACGTGTTAGGCACGGCATTGCCATGTGACCACGGAATTACACTGCGGAGCTCTGCAAGTTCTTGCTCATGCCACTACGGGTGAAAGGGCCTCCACTACAGGAAGCTCGAGAGAGTAGTTAGGCCTACTCCACCACGCTGGCCCTATTTCTTAACTTTTTTGGAAAAGGTGGGCCTACCAACCATTTACACCGACCACACGTGACCTGCCGATTGAATAACTGCAGGCAGATGGGGGGGAAAACTTAAGAAACTTGCGCCATTGTTTCATCTGCCGCCCTGGGAGCAGGTTTCAGTTCAGACACCTCAACTCTGTTTATCGCTGTAAACGTTGCTTCTCACATTTCCAGTGGAGATGACAGAGTGAGCTGTGCGAGAAAAACCATCGTGCAGAGGAAGCGACAGCCACATTCAAATTAAACATGCATTTCCAAGCTCGTCGGATGGGTTCTCCACTGTGTGTCATCACAGGCACTATAATCAGAGTTCCGGAGTGATGGTGCAATGGTTAGCATATTGCGCTACGAAGCCAGCAACCTGAGTTCCTTTGCAGGTTGAACTAAAGTTGATGAAGAGGGGAGGAGGCCTGGGACCGGTTCAGGAATCACTCGCTACTATTGATAGCTGTGGCCAAGAATTGGACCTCACCTCACTGGGTTTGTAGTGTAGTAAGCTAACCATTACCCTACCGCTCCACCCGAATATAGTGAATGACATAGTTGAGTGATGATGGTGATGACGACGAGGATGATGGTGATGATGATGAATCCTACAGCATTGTCATCGGTGCAATGACAGCAGTGGAGGACGATTGGCTTGTGCTCTGCTGTAGAATTCAACCGAGTTGCTACAATGCTTGACGAAAATGAAAAATGTAGAATTATAGACAAACCTCATCGAAGTGAAACATCTGCATGAGGACTTGGTAGTGGCTGTGAGCCTGAGCCCCAGCCCCCAAGATGCACAAGATTCGGGATTCAGGAGGCGACAGATACTGCAGGACACATGCGGGTTAACAATCAATTAAAAACTATTACACTGAGCTATGTAGCTCTTTTTCAGAAGCGAACTGGCCACAAATGATCGCTCAACGAAGTGGCTTAGAGGCCGTCCATAAATTACGTCACGCGATTTTTGACGATTTTTGACCCCCCCCCCCCCCCTCGTCACACGGCGTTACAAAAAGTCAGACCCTCCCTCAAATATGACGTCACAAAGCTCTGCCCCCCCCCCCAAATAAAACATGTTTCAAATCGCTTTAAACTATTGTCATTTTAATGCGTATTGAATGTGGCGCTGCACTCTGATGTTGTAGGAGAAAACATTTATTAAAAATATATTAAATTAAGTAGAACGTGTTGTCTATATTTATTTAAAGTTGCGCATTTTGATGTGACGTCACATTTCTCACCCCCCCCCCCTCGTCACACATCGTCACAAATGTCTGACACCCCCCCCCCTCCCTAGGTGCGTGACGTCATTTATGGACGGCTCCCCTATTCATGTGGAAATTTATAGCACCCAAATACTCTAAACGCGTGTTTACAAATGTAGAGGGGAAAACCGGATAAAAATCCACGCGACCACAGGGAGAACACGCAAACTCAAAATATACAGCAGGCGTCAGGGTCGGGATAGCATCCACGACCTCCTGTATACCAGGCGAGGTAGCTAACATCTCACCACCTTGGCGCCTAATACACATTTACCGCACACACAATGTATGAATATAAACGTAAGTTATTGTATCATTCAGGAACACTTTAGGCTCAGGTGATTATTGATAATCCAATTATGTAACTTCATGTATACATATAAAACAGGTTTATAGGATAATGGAGTTGTCACATTGCCATAAATTGTCAAAGATGTCAATGTAGTTCGGAAATGGGTGACATATTCGCAAGATGGCTCTTTACCTTGAATATCTTAATTTAGCAACATGTAACACGTAAGTAAAGACGTGTTAAATAGGACAAATGTTGAAAATTATATCGTGTTATTATTGACCTTTTCATATTCATGTTACAACAATTTACAAAAGTGCAAACTGTAGTTTTTACAAAATTAAATTGTCATATCCATTGTTTCGGCAATTTATGGGTAACTTTCCATTGTTAATTTGCATAACATCTAAAAAGGAATACTTAACTTTGTACATTCTGGCAGATGGTGAGCCTTCACGATCTCCCACAGGCACTGTGAGATGTCAGCCGATTGAACCCTTGCAATCTGTCTCGCCAGGTGAAGCTTGTGCTGTCCACTACTCATAGCAGCGGAAGTTATCAATGTGCTTGGAGCCTTGCACTAATTACTTGTACTAGTAATACTTTTATAATATGAAATATTTACCCTGAATGCCTTCATAAGTCTGAAAATTCATTTTTCAGAATAACTTTCTTTGGAATGAGTCATTTTCATATATCTGTAATGGTGTTTAGTGTGTTGTTTTGTGTTTAGTTTGTTGTCCTTCCCCCGCTCCTCCAATTAGCACGGTTTGGCTACGTATGATGCGAAATAATTTAAACATACGTACATATATGTCATAATTTTAAACATATCATATACAGATTTTACTCCCTGAACCTTGACCTGGTTATGAATACAGTCCACCTATTCATCCAATAATTTATTTCACATGTGGCTAGAAACTAGTTTCCTAATTAAGCTCTTGCATATAAAAGGATACGCTAGTTGACTTATATCCATATCATGGATCCCAAGTTTGGATAACCTTGCTCAATTCACGAAATGTATTACCAATTACCTATTAAAATTGTAATCATTCTGTTTGTAGCTAGCCGCTGGACGTAAATGGACTTGTGCTCCAGCAATCATGTTTTTTGTTAAGCTAAAGCCCACTTGCTGTACTGCCTGCTACAGGAACCTTATACTGGTAGGAACCTCCTGGTTACACCAGCCCACAGGGGATTATTGTGTCTGTCCATCCGTCGTGCATCCAAAAATGGGAGAGGTGGGGCTGGGTGGAGAAGGGAAGGTGGGGAGGGGCTGGGTGGGGAGGGGAGGGTGGGGAGGGGCTGGGTGGGGAGGGAGGGTGGGGCTGGGTGGGGGGGTGGGAGGGGTGGGGCTGGGTGGGAAGGGGCTGGTCACCCCGTGGTGCCCTTATAAAACTCAACGTTTAATCTACTCACGCCGGCTTGTGGCTGCCCTCACAAAGTCGGCCATATTTGCGGAATACACCACGCCGCCGTTGACCCTGGCCATTGACCGAGCAACCCAACGTTCCTACCAGCTCCCTCCGCAGGAATGTGTTTCCCCAGCAAATGCCTATGTCCTGAACACCCACTGGTCCATACCTGCATGATCCACCAAACCCACCATCAAGCTGCTGGATGTACACAACTCAAACAACGGAGGTGATGGCGTGTGTTGTTAAAGCGTTACCTTGGTAGCTATGGCAGACACAGCGGCTGTTCTCATATCCGTAATGATTCTCCCATCCATGATCTAGGAAAGAGCAGAACATCCACCATGTATCTACCCGAAAGACACATGGAAGAAGCACAACCTTGCAGTGAAGGTGCACATGTTCGTACTATGCTCATCTCGGTTCACTAATTGAATGTCTGGACCAGTCATTCATAGCCAATTCGTGAACTAATAATAACAACTAATGCAGGTCAGATGGGATTCAGCCTCCTCAAATTATTTGTTCAACAGTGTGTGTGTGTGATGTTTTTTTCCTTCCCCTTCATGACAGTAATGGGGGTGGTGTTGAAAGCTGCTTTATTGTTGGTGTATAAATTTGTTTTGTGGTAACATACTTTTAAACTTCCTTAGGCCACCAATCATCTTTGCAGCACAGAATAACTCTTCTGGTTGGGATGTTAGTCAGTTCTTCTCTCATACTCTTTGGTTCTTTCGGTAAAGTCACGTGACTTTACCGAAAGAACCAAAGAGTATAGATCCAAGTAGTTACGAAAACTTCAAATCTAGATTGATCTTTTCTGAGCTTGTGGAAAACATTCCATTCGCCAGGATTTCTAAGAAGACTGGGAACAGTGTATTCATCATGATAGAATCAGGCATTCGTAGTCCTGAACTTTATCAATTTATATTTTAAGAGGAAGGGCTGACTGCTTTTACGTGGCTTACCTGCATAATGGAATTACAGGGTATCAAGGAATCAGAATAGGAGCAATGACCAATGCTCATTTTTCTCAACAGCAAATTCATAACTACAGTGGGGTGACAGTCCATCTCAGGTTTTCACAATTGTTGGTGACACATGCAGGTGGTTAAATGTAATCTCTGCAATGTCAAATGTCCACATAAAGCACCAGTACTCAGCAATTGTCCCCAAACTGGTCGTGATGGAAAATTTACATGGAATAAATCTTGTCATCTTCTGGCAGAGGAAGATATGATAAATTCGCTTCCATTTCGTTGCACTTTTTGAAATCATCTTCCCGAAACTGTGAGGCCCCCAACGATGGATGTCACCCTATCGAATAGTGTTGCCACCCGGCCAGGTTTTTACAAAATATTTCCTTTTTTTAAAGTAGCCGTCTTGGGAAATCTAGAAATTTTAAAGCTCCTGGTTTGTCAGTTGCATAATATTACACCACTCAAGATAATAGATTTGCATGGAGTTAAAACTAATTTAGTATTTTACCAGGTAAGGCCCACTGAGCTACAAAGCTAGCTTTGATGAAGCAACCTGGCCACAAATGAAAGATAGCTCAACGAAGTGGCTTATCACGTGGACATTTTTAGCAGCCAAACACTAACATTCTCTCCATTTTCAGCACTGTGAGATAATATTCTTTCACGTTACGTCCCCGTTTTTTTTTGTACCTCAGAGTTAGCAAAACCCGACCGCGACGCAGGAAGCTGCTGCCTACTCACTCAGCAAGTCGACAGCAAACGTAGCAAAAAACAAACACCCAATAATGCCAGGGAGGTACGCACAGCACGCAGGGAGCCGTTGGCTGGGTCGAGCAGCAGGATTGTGGCCTGGTGGGTGGGAAAGGGCCCCCCGGCGTTGCCGCTGTAAGATGTGACGAGCTTTGTGGCTAGTGCCTCGTCGCCGGCGCTGTAGGCCGGCATCACCAGCAGACAGCTGAAATCAGCCGAAAAGATATTGAGCGATTAGACTCACCACAGCACACAGGGACAATTTCAAAGCAGCGGTCCATTAGGTTATTGCACATAAGTGTGGCTGATTAATTTTGTGGAACCTTACCCACGATGCATTTCTTGTGTTAAAATCTTTCTGTTCACGTTTAATTTGAACCAGTTTATACTTTGATTTTAAAGGTTTATTATGCTGTTCAACGCTCATTATTGGGAACACTTTATATGTAAATACAAAACTTGATTTGGCAATGTTCTGAACATTTGTCACTTTTCTCAGAGCACAGAGTGAAACGTACGATGATCAAATGTGAGCCAATTGTGCCACCCATACGGACCGCATCACCGGCACCTCACTCAGGGATACCACATGTCCTACTTTTCCCTCTGGATCATCCTCTTTTTGACACCACTATCTTGGAAAATCTGTAAGTGCTCCCAGAACCTTAAGAGCCCCCATTTTTGTCAGTTACCTAAACATCCACCACTCATAGCGCAGTGCACATACATTTAGCTCTCTCCCCTTCTGGCATTGTGAGATATATAAACGGTTTCTCTACTAATTTATTTCATTTACGATGTATTAATTTTTAAAGCGATACATTCGCTGCGTGCAGTTAGTCTTTATTTTGCTCAGTCAGTATAATCCGCTGAGGTCGTGATGGGCTTACTTGCTTGCGTGCTTGCTTGCTTGCGACCGTGCAAATCTTTCGGTCGTTTTTTAACACACTTCCCGTGATCCAATCGAGCTGACATTTTCCACACAGACTCGTTGTGCGTGATAATTAATTTTCGTGAAATTTTTTTCTCCAAAATTTTACGCTGTTTAGGGAAAAATAAATAAATATTTAATTACCAATTGCTTAATGCTGGCAGACAATCATCTGACCCATAGGTGGCAGCCATCTCAAGCCAGAGGACGAGAAGACTCTAGCCGCCACGCATATAAAGGATTTATAGTGAAAAACTTAGTTTTTACGGGTTAATTTTTTTTTTCTATTCTTGTACTTCTATACTCCTGTACTGTTCCCGTTCTGTTGTAATGTGCACCGATGACTTCTTTACTGAGGGCAATATTGCACATATCCGCACCTCTGATTAGCACCATTGGCTACCGCGACATACATATCACAGTGCTTTTGCATTTCGAAAGTTGGCAACCATTGTCTCACCCCGAATGTGGGCTGACAGGCACGATGGCTCGCAGTGGCTGGACCACGCCACCGGCTGCTCCCAGCGAGAACCGGCCCAGCGCCACCTCTAGACGGGCCACCAGTGCATCATAGCGCAGCACGCTCTGCACCTGCTCCGCTCCAATGTAAGTCGGCAGGTCTGCCATGCCGTCCTAGGGTTCAAACGCCACCGAGCATGGGATGAGTTGTTCATACGTTCACTTGCGTGCCACTGTGGCTACGAAATGCAAACCACAGACCACGGTAACTTCGCACTGCCCCAGATATGAATGGCGAGGCGGTGTTGGTGAGTGTACCTGCATTTCACTAATTCTCAGATAACGAAACTGAATGTGAACATCACTTACATCGGCCATACGAAAGAACAAGGATGGAAACGCCTAATGCATCGAGAGATGAGCTATGGCATCTCAAGAAGAGAAAATGCATTCAAAACTCACTACCCTAAAAGTCGCACATGGTCACGTATAGTGAGTGTGGGTACGACCACCTCTTCCAAGAAATCTGGCCAAATGCCCTCTAGAGGGCGTCTATTTTTCTCTCGCTCGTGGAGGCCCTTCTGCCCACAGTGGTTTGAGTAAATTACTATCAGAACTATTTTTTTGTACATTTAATATTTGCAGGTAAGGCCCACTGAGCTATATAGCTCGTTTTTATGAAGCAACCTGGCCACAAATTAAAGATAGCTCAACCAAGTGGCTTATTATGTGGAAATGTATAGCAGCCAAATCCTTTAAACCCATGTTTCTGAATGTCAAGGGAAATACCAGAAGACCCAGAGAAAAATCCACACGGCCACGGGGAGAGAGACATGTAAACTCCAAATATACAGGCATCAGGGTCGAGATTGAACCCACAACCTCCTGTATACTCGGCGAGGTAGCTAATATCTCGCCACCGCGGCACCCCAAATAATTGCAAGGCTGTACTAGTTTATCATGTGGTACGGTGCAAGCCATAAGGCATGTCACAGATCACTGCCGAATACAACACACGTACTGTAGTGGAACAAGCGCATGCTGCGGAATGGCTTACAAATTCAATACAATGGTAGCCGGTTAAAGTTTTTACACACAATACGGACGAAGAAGTACTGTACATGATAATAAATCCAATTCTGCAAAAAAGCTAAGGACACATGTAGGTTTACTCACGGGGCTTGAGCAGTATAGAGCAAGTTCACAGAATCAGCTTTCCTTGACAAGAATGACGCTAACCAAAACAGTCTCTAACATACGCGGTGGACTTGCTAGTTTACATTACAAACATCTCAGTCTGCGTACAAGTCCAGCACTCGAGCCACCGCGAATAAGTGTACAGTACATTGATAATAAACGTTTGAGGCGCTACTCTTGCACCAATGTACACAGCGACCGAAGCCACACGTCATGCTGTGTGGCCTGGCAATTCCATGACACGACATGCATATTACCTGTCTCATGGAGTAGACTGCACAACGCACAAGCCGCACTGCAGGTTGCAACACTTCTCTTTAAGCTTATTCCCTTGCACTGTTAATACTTTGCCTCCCGTCCTCTCTTTCCCAAACTCTTAGAAGAAAATATCTCAATTCAAGAAACGTGTTACACTCTTATCTATTACCCATTCGATAGCGCCACTAGTTGGGCATGTGCTAAACTGTGTATTTAGTTTTTGAATAACATATCTTACTTATGAATTGTTCTTAAAATTAGCAGCACTAATGAGACATCTAATTCATTTTTAAATAAGTATATAGCTATTCCACCTGGCGTGAGAGATTGCCCTTTTACATAGGCAGTAGTGACCTATTCATGTGTGACATTTAGAACATCTCGTCTGCAAACTTATTTGGTTCTGGAGTACTGTATATGATTTTGTTTGCTATAGAGCTCTGCATTCAGAAACTAAACTGCCTGAAGGTTTCTGTCAAATGCAATTAGTTTCATCACCTAAAATTACAATTTAGTTTAAACCCATTATTTATATCAAGGTGACGAATTCGGTAATATATTTATATCAACAAATTCTGAGAATGAACGCATCGTTTAGTTTCATTATAGTATGCTAGAATCAATGCATTGTTTAGTTTCATTATAATATGCTAGAATCAATACCTTATCTAGTTTCATTACATTTTCGACGTATTATTACATGACAACTTCTTGAATGCATGAGAATAGGTTTTCCCCTTTTTTCTGGCAACAAAACAGGTGTTAAGATGTGCAAACACCAAACTGAAACCTTTTACAATAAATCATGTCTGCATTAACCACAATACTTGTGGTCAGAATGCAAACAAAAAACATACTCTGATAATATATGCATTGTCTTTGAAACTGATTGGTCCACACCAGAGACAGCTTTCTTTTGAGCCTCGTCTCAAAACGGTGTTAGACCAGAGGACGCCAAAAATACTTTCCTTTTGGGCCAATGTGCATTCTTGAATGCACGTTGACCCAAGTGGAAAGGCATGCAATCAGTGTAGTTTTAAAAGACCCAGAACAGCACAAACTGTTGGGAAGGCAGGGAGTGGGGTGAGGGGGATGAATAAAAATATAATCTGTAACGCGCACAATATTTCAACTCAGAGGCACGGAGCCAAGTACGAATAACATTGAGTTATTAAATCCATCAATAACATTGCCTTCAAAGGAATAGAATGTACCGTAGAATAGTATAATACTGTAATATGCGATATTTTGGTTAAATGTCCCTTCGTAGCACTGAGATTAAGAAGGGCTACTGGGCAAAAGGTCAATTATATATGTTTTCTGGAGGGCAATGTCATGAAATAATCTGCCGAGACTAAAGTGGGGGTGGGGAGGATAGGAATCCAAAACTCTCTGACAAGGTTAGGACGTCTTCACAGCCAAAGCCACTGATGCCACGACATTTCGCTATCGCTTCATTCCGCTCGATCTCACAGATTCAGTCAGCATCCGACATTCAGTCTGATGTCAAGGCTGTTTTACACTGCCTCCATACAACCAGAAGTGTCACGGATGTCTACGGAACGCTGTGTAAACACTACCTTCTCATTCCTATCAAGCCATGTGTCCCGAAATTGAGTTATGAATCTTCATCAGTCTCCGTGAGAGTCAATGAGTCTTAATGCTGAGTCTTATTGGATAATGCCCTCTGGCAGCCTGAAGCGATACTCGTCCATCCTGCATGCAAGATCCACCCGTCTTGCTTGACCATACTTCTCCATGCAGGGGGAGGGCAATGATCGGTGCAGACGTTAATTGCCACTTGTTATAGATGTAGCCGGAAAATCCAATTTAGGTTGCAAGGTTCATAGTTTGGTGCGCTAAGCACTGCGCCACCCGTTGCACCCAAAGATGCAATCATAACGTTACACTGGCCACGTTAGAGTGTGCAAGCAATTTTGCAATCTTACAGATTGATGACACGTTTACAATCATAAGACAGTATAAGTACAGTCCCCGGTTCGCACACATACATCGCCAAACATAGGGAAAATTCGTTCACCCCACATTGGCCAGAAACTCAATACAGTTGTAAGCATTCGTGGTATGTAGATTCAAACCCGAAAGGCCAGTGGAAAACTAAGGCTTTTGAAAACTCACTCGTCCGTCATTGGAACCTCATTTGCCAGTAAAAAAATATGATAATTGTTTTTTTACCCTTTAATCTGGCAACAAAACTGACACCTTTTTTTTACAAGGAGTCATGTTTGCATAGCCCACAATACCTGCAGTCATAATGCAAACAAAAAACATAACTCTGATAAGAACAGTGCATACATTATCAGAGTTATGTTTTTGTTAGCATTATGAGAGCAGCCAGGGTCAGGATGACCTTTGGGGTAATTCCGTTGGGGTAAACAAGGGGGGAGGTGGACCGGAATTCAAAAAGACCGGTCTCTGCCAATCATCGAGGGTTCTTCTGGAGAATGTTCTGGAAGGGGTCGCGAGGGATATATAAGTCGGGCAAAACGAGCCCGAGGCGCAGTATGCCGAAGACAGAAGACAAGAGAAGCTAAAGCCAGACTCCGCTAAGCTAGTTAAGATTATTCTATGTGGACCTGGGTAGGCTAGGATAGGGTCGCTAGGGGCAAGCAACAGTCCGTACGTCGGCACGTTTGACCCCCCCGGGGCTGCCGTGGTGTCGACCCGCTGAGACAGCGAGACACGGAAGCCGAGAGGGGTGAGGAAAGGAGAGTAGAGAATCGGATAGGGAAGGAGAGTAGGGAATAGGATAGGGACACGGCGAGTGAGGCAGCGAACGAGAGACGGACAGCGGTCATCGGCTTGACTAAAACAAGTGTTATATAAACAAACTGTAATGATCAAGACAAGAAGTCGTCCGCCTTTATTTACAACCCTACACGTATAACGTGCCAGACATAATAATAACCTTGGGCCCTTTTCACAGGCTTCTTCTGTCTGTCTGCCTGCAAACAAACAACAAAAACAACACACTCGTTGCGTAAACGCTTACACGCACCGAGATTTTAAAACGTTTCGTTAAAAGCCAAAAAAATACACGACCTTTGCTCTCCCCCAGAGTAGCACTCAAAGCCAACCGGGCTGTGAGGTTTTGCGAAGTTATTTAGCTTGTTTTTCCTTCTGCAACTCGCTCGGTCGCGGACATAAACTTTGAACACGTCAAGGCAAGAGAGAGAGAGTGAGAGAGCTGAGTGGAATGCAATGAGTGGTCTGTACCAACGCCCTGCTTTGCCTCGTGGGGTGCCTGGGCACCGTCACCAAATGTTTGGCACACGCTGTGGTACAACGTTGCCCAATGTGGCAATCGCAGCGTTTTCTTGGTTCTTTCGGTAAAGTCACGTAGAAGGCTGCTTGCGTTGTAGCCGAAACGTCGTGAGAATTATTTTATTTTATTATGTTTTATTTTTATTATTTTATTACTTCCCTTCTACGTGACTTTACCGAAAGAACCAAGAAGATGAATCCCTGCAGTCACGAAAGCTTTAAATCGAAATTTTATTATGTTTTATTTTTATTATTTTATTACTTCCCTTCTACGTGACTTTACCGAAAGAACCAAGAAGATGAATCCCTGCAGTCACGAAAGCTTTAAATCGAAATTTAAATCGCAGCGTTGTTAATTGTGCATCTATTTTGCGAATGGGCATATTTCGGACCGAGTGTTTTTTTTTTACGGGACACAGCGCTATGCAAAGGGTGAATAGTCATCATTATTAAATCAAGGGCACAAATCAAAGTCCATAAATGACGTCACGCGATTTTGGACGATTTTTGACCCCCCCCCCCCCCTATCGTCGCACGACGTCACAAAAAGTCAGACCCCCCCCCTTCAAATATGACGTCACAAAGCTCTGCCCCCCCCCCCCCAAAAAAAATAAAAAACATGCTTCAAAACGTTTTAAACTCTTGTCATTGTAGTGCGTATTTAATGTGGCGCTGCACTGATGTTGTAGGAGAAAACATTTCTTTAAAAGTCTATTTAATTAAGTAGAACGTGTTGTCTATATTTATTAAAGTTGCGCATTTTGATGTGACGTCACATTTCTCAAACCCCCCTCCCCCCCTCGTCACAAATGTCTGACCCTCCCCCCCTAGGTGCGTGACGTCATTTATGGACGGCCCCATTGCCCAACGTGGCAATCGCAGCGTTGTTAATTGTGCATCTATTCTGCGAATGGGCATATTTCGGACTGAGTGTTTTTTTTTTACAGGACACAGCGCTGTGCAAGGGGTGAATAGTCATCATTATTATTAAATCAAGGGCACACTGAAAGGTGCTCATTGAAATGCACTTCATTCATGCGTTGACGAGAAAAGAGTCCGTCCATAAATGACGTCACTCACCTAGGGGGGTCAGACATTTGTGACGCACAAGAGACATTGCACGTTTAACAGCAACAATCATAATAAACTCGGGTTGATATCTCAATGGTTGTATTTAAAAAACAATTCCGATGTAATACATTAAACAACAATTGAGATAGATCCTTCAACCTGAACACCTCTGGCATCGAGAGAAATTTGGAGGAAATCCTCTAGCCTGAACACTTCGTATGATTTGAGAGGAATCTGGAGGGAAATCCTCCAGCCTGAACACCTCCTCTGACACTGACAGGAATCTGGAGGGAAATCCTTCAGCCTGAACACCTCCTTTGACACTGAGAGGAATGTGGAGAGAAATCCTCTAGCATGAACACCTCCTCTGACATTGAGAGGAATCTGGAGGGAAATCCTCTAGCATGAACAGCTCCTCTGACACTGAGAGGAATCTGGAGTGAAATCCTCCACCCTAAACACCTCCTTTGACACTGAGAGGAATCTGGTGGGAAATCCTCTAGTATGAACACCTCCTCTGACACTGAGAAGAATCTGGAGGGAAATCCTCCAGCCTGAACACCTCCTTTGACACTGAGAGGAATCTGGTGGGAAATCCTCTAGTATGAACACCTCCTTTGACACTGTGAGGAATCTGGAGGGAAATCCTCTAGCATGAACACCTCCTCTGACACTAAGAGGAATCTGGAGGGAAATCCTCTAGCCTGAACACCTCCTTTGACACTGAGAGGAATCTGGAGGGAAACCCTCTGACACTGAGAGGAATCTGGAGGGAAATCCTCTAGCATGAACACCTCCTTTGACACTGACAGGAATCTGGAGGGAAATCCTCTAGCATGAACACCTCCTTTGACACTGTGAGGAATCTGGAGGGAAATCCTCTGACACTGAGAGGAATCTGGAGGGAAATCCTCTAGCATGAACACCTCCTATGACACTGACAGGAATCTGGAGGGAAATCCTTCAGCCTGAACACCTCCTTTGACACTGAGAGGAATGTGGAGAGAAATCCTCTAGCATGAACACCTCCTCTGACATTGAGAGGAATCTGGAGGGAAATCCTCTAGCATGAACAGCTCCTCTGACACTGAGAGGAATCTGGAGTGAAATCCTCCAGCCTAAACACCTCCTTTGACACTGAGAGGAATCTGGTGGGAAATCCTCTAGTATGAACACCTCCTCTGACATTGAGAGGAATCTGGAGGGAAATCCTCTAGCATGAACACCTCCTCTGACACTCAGAGGAATGTGGAGGGAAATCCTCTAGCATGAACACCTCCTCTGAAACTGAGAATTTGGAGGGAAATCCTCTGACACTGAGAGGAATCTGGAGGGAAATCCTCTAGCATGAACACCTCCTATGACACTGACAGGAATCTGGAGGGAAATCCTTCAGCCTGAACACCTCCTTTGACACTGAGAGGAATGTGGAGAGAAATCCTCTAGCATGAACACCTCCTCTGACATTGAGAGGAATCTGGAGGGAAATCCTCTAGCATGAACAGCTCCTCTGACACTGAGAGGAATCTGGAGTGAAATCCTCCAGCCTAAACACCTCCTTTGACACTGAGAGGAATCTGGTAGGAAATCCTCTAGTATGAACACCTCCTCTGACACTGAGAAGAATCTGGAGGGAAATCCTCCAGACTGAACACCTCCTTTGACACTGAGAGGAATCTGGTGGGAAATCCTCTAGTATGAACACCTCCTTTGACACTGTGAGGAATCTGGAGGGAAATCCTCTAGCATGAACACCTCCTCTGACACTAAGAGGAATCTGGAGGGAAATCCTCTAGCCTGAACACCTCCTTTGACACTGAGAGGAATCTGGAGGGAAACCCTCTGACACTGAGAGGAATCTGGAGTGAAATCCTCTAGCATGAACACCTCCTTTGACACTGACAGGAATCTGGAGGGAAATCCTCTAGCATGAACACCTCCTTTGACACTGTGAGGAATCTGGAGGGAAATCCTCTGACACTGAGAGGAATCTGGAGAGAAATCCTCTAGCATGAACACCTCCTATGACACTGACAGGAATCTGAAGGGAAATCCTCTAGCATGAACACCTCCTCTGACACTCAGAGGAATGTGGAGGGAAATCCTCTAGCATGAACAACTCCTCTGACACTAAGAGGAATCTGGAGGGAAATCCTCTAGCCTGAACACCTCCTTTGACACTGAGAGGAATCTGGAGGGAAACCCTCTGACACTGAGAGGAATCTGGAGGGAATCCTCTAGCATGAACACCTCCTTTGACACTGACAGGAATCTGGAGGGAAATCCTCTAGCATGAACACCTCCTTTGACACTGTGAGGAATCTGGAGGGAAATCCTCTGACACTGAGAGGAATCTGGAGGGAAATCCTCTAGCATGAACACCTCCTATGACACTGACAGGAATCTGAAGGGAAATCCTCTAGCATGAACACCTCCTCTGACACTCAGAGGAATGTGGAGGGAAATCCTCTAGCATGAACACCTCCTCTGACACTCAGAGGAATGTGGAGGGAAATCCTCCAGCCTGAACACCTCCTTTGACAATGAGAGGAATCTGGTGGGAAATCCTCTAGTATGAACAACTCCTTTGACACTGTGAGGAATCTGGAGAGAAATCCTCTAGCATGAACACCTCCTCTGACACTAAGAGGAATCTGGAGGGAAATCCTCTAGCCTGAACACCTCCTTTGACACTGAGAGGAATCTGGAGGGAAACCATCTGACACTGAGAGGAATCTGGAGGGAAATCCTCTAGCATGAACACCTCCTTTGACACTGACAGGAATCTGGAGGGAAATCCTCTAGCATGAACACCTCCTTTGACACTGTGAGGAATCTGGAGGGAAATCCTCTGACACTGAGAGGAATCTGGAGGGAAATCCTCTAGCATGAACACCTCCTATGACACTGACAGGAATCTGAAGGGAAATCCTCTAGCATGAACACCTCCTCTGACACTCAGAGGAATGTGGAGGGAAATCCTCTAGCATGAACACCTCCTCTGAAACTGAGAATTTGGAGGGAAATCCTCTGACACTGAGAGGAATCTGGAGGGAAATCCTCTAGCATGAACACCTCCTCCGACACTGAGAGGAATCTGGAGGGAAATCCTCTAGCATGAACACCTCCTTTGACACTGACAGGAATCTGGAGGGAAATCCTCTAGCATGAACACCTCCTCTGACACTGAGAGGAATCTGGAGGGAAATCCTCTAGCTTGAACACCTCCTCTGACACTGAGAGGAATCTGGAGGGGACATCCTCTAGCATGAACACCTCCTCTGACACTGAGAGGAATCTGGATGGAAATCCTCTAGCCTGAACACCTCCTTCGACACTGAGAGGAATCTGGAGGGGAAATCCTCTAGCATGAACACCTCCTCTGACACTGAGAGGAATCTGGAAAGAAACCCTCTAGCCTGAACACTTCCTCTGACACTGAGAAGAATCTGAAGGGAAATCCTCTAGCCTGGACACCTCCTCTGACACTGAGAGGAATCTGAAGTGAAATCCTCTAGCCTGAACACCTCCTCTGACTCTGAGAGGAATCTGAAGGGAAATCCTCTAGAATGAACACCTTCTCTGACACTGAGAGGAATCTGAAGGGAAATCCTCTAGCATGAACACCTCCCTCTTCACTGAGAGGAATCTGGAGGGAAACCCTCTAGCATGAACACCTCCTTTGACACTGAGAGGAATCTGGAGGGAAATCCTCTAGCCTGAACACCTCCCTCGACACTGAGAGGAATCTGGAGGGAAACCCCCTAGCCTGAACACCTCCTTTGACGCTGAGAGGAATCTGCAGGGAAACCCTCTAACCTGAACACCTCCTTTGACACTGAGAAGAATGTGGAGGGAAACCCTCTAGCATGAACACCTCCTCTGACACGGAGAGGAATCTGGAGGGAAACCCTCTAGCCTGAACACCTCATCTGACACTGAGAGGAATCTGAAGGGAAACCCTCTAGCCTGAACACATCCT